ACGTTAGTGCTAATTGGATTCGTCCATTTGAGCTTGTTCTTTTAGGTTTAGGTTCATGTCATTTAGGCCCTCGATTTCCACTGTGGCTATATTCACAACAAAACATAGGTATTTTGGACATATCAAGTTCAGGAATTTCAGATACCATATCTAGTAAAATGTGGGAATTTTTATCTCAAGTTCACATCTTAAATCTCCCTCACAACCAATTCCATGGAGAAATACCAAATTTAACTGAGGTTGCTTTATCAGGTCGATTGCCTATTATATCCTCCAAGGTTAGAGAATTAGATCTTTCTGATAATAATTTGTCAGGATCGATTTTCAAATTTTTGTGTTATGGGAAGAATAAAGAGTCAAAGCAAACACAATCACTCAACCTTAAAAATAATTTTTTATCCGGACAATTACCTAACTGTTGGATGAATTGGCAAAACTTGGAGTTCCTAAACTTAGATAACAATAACTTTACTGGTAGTCTTCCAACCTCCATAGGAACTTTAGGTTCCCTTCGATTACTTCACCTTCATAAAAATAGTCTCTCTGGAACAATACCTACTTCGCTTAAAACTTACAAGTTAGAAGTACTTGATATAGGAGAAAATGCATTTGTTGGGAAGATTCCGATATGGATTGGAGATAGATTTTTGAGAATTGCGATTCTCAACCTTCGGTCAAATAATTTTCATGGTGTATTACCAATAGAATTTTGTCATTTATCTTCTTTACAAGTTTTAGACCTTGCTTATAACAATCTCTTTGGAAACATACCAAGATGTTTCAATAATTTTACTGCCATGGTGATGATGAATTATACCACACAACTTTTTTCGTCGAGAAGGCGAATCAATTCCTTGTGATGAAAGGGAAAATGGATGAGTATAGCTCTATTCTTGATTTGGTGAGAATTATAGACCTTTCAAGAAATAATTTCTTTGAGGAGATTCCTATAAAAGTGACAAATCTTAAAGCATTGCAAACATTGAATTTGTCGCATAATTTTCTTACTGGAAGAATTCCAAGAACTATTGGTGCTATGACTTCTATAGAATCTCTTGATTTCTCTAGAAATCAACTTTCTGGTGAAATCCCATCCAATATTTCGAACCTGTCTTTTTTGAGTCACCTAAACATATCCAACAACAACCACACGGGCAAGATTTCATTGAGCACTCAGCTACAAAGTTTTGATGCATCTTGTTTTGCTAGCAATAAACTTTGTGGGGATCCACTTCCTAAGAAATGCACTACGATGACTGATTCAATGCCAAACCATGAAGAAAGAGGAGAAGGTAGACATGAACATGAAGTGAACTAGTTTTATGTAAGCATGCCAATTGGATTTGTGGTGGGTTTTTGGGGTGTAATTGGTCCTTTGATTGTCAACAGAAGATGGAGGTACAATTATTGTTATTTCTTAGATCACCTGGGAAACAAACTTTACTTCTTTGTAAGAAAGTGTTGCTAGATCCTTGATGTTATGAGCATGTTTGTGTGTGGTTTAAGAGAGAAATAAATGTCGAAATAAGGATGCTGGTTCAGTCAAAAGTGTTTGTTCCATGTTGCACTTGATCTTTTTTGTTGGAGGTTGTTAATTAGTTATTGTTATTTGAGACTTAGAGCCATTTATTGTCATGCTCTTCAATTTAAAATCTTCCGTTTAATGCCTTTACTTGGAGTCTACAAAGTAATAGAATGATCCACTTCTTTTGGTAAGACAATATGATGCAATCCACGAAAAAATAATAGTTCAAATCAAAACATTTTATGTGGACAAAATACTTTGATCTTAATAAACGAATAAACCTCAATTCTGTTAGAAACTTTTGAGATAAAACATAATATAATAATACCAACACAATCAAACTAACACAAGGAGGAAGAAAACTTGTCGTATCTCACACATAAACCGACAAATACATTGATTTATTGGTCACATTAGATCTTTCCTTCAACAAATTGAATGGAATTGTTTCTGAAATTCACTTTTCAAATCTCACAAGCCTATGTCATTTTTGATATATCTGGAAACTCACTAATGTTGAAAATTAGTCCTAGTTGGATTCCTTCTTTTCAAGCTAGTTGGCTTGGTTTGGGTTCTGGTGATTTAGGCCCTATATTTCCATCATGGCTTTCTTCACTAAAGAACTTACATCTTCTGGATATATCAAATTCATCACTTTATACCATATCTGTTAGGTTTTGGGAATTTCTCTCCCAAATTTCTTTTTTAAATTTTCTTACAACCAAATTCATGGAGGAATTCCAAATTTAAGTGAGGGTGCTCCTTTTGATAGTCTGTTGTTGCATACGAATAGTCTATCTGGTCCACTGCCTATTATATCCATGAGACTTTTGCAACTAAATCTTGCCAATAATATAATTTCTCAGGATCCATATTTCAATTTTTTGTTTTCTAGGATTAAAGATTTTGAGTTTCTCAAAGTTAAAGAAAACTTTTTATTTGTAGAATTGCCCCATTTGTGGGATTATTATAAAAGTTTGAAGATACTTAATTTAGGGAACAATAAACTTACGGGGAATCTTCCAACCTCCATCGGAAATTTGGGTTCCCTCAGTCACTTCACCTTAGCAGAAATAAACTTTCCATACCATTATCTATGTCCTTTAGAATTTAATAAATTTAAAGATACTTCACATAAGTCAAAATGAGTTTGTCGAAAAAGTTTCTTTAATTGTCAAGAGAAGGTGGAGGTACAAGTATTGTCATTTCTTAGATCGTCTTTGAAACGAACTTTACTTTTTTGTAAGAAAATGTTGGTAGATCCTTGATGTTCACAGTTATGTTTGTGTTTGGTTGAAGAGAGAAATAAATTTCAATAATTATGGTAAAGGACACTTTGAAGCTGATCTAAAGACATATGATTCTTATAAAATTTGATTTAAATCTTAGAAAGTGCATATTGGTTCTCACAAATCTAAAATATCATCAAATTAGATGTAAAATATTGTTACCCTTGAACAGTTAACTCCCATTTTGGTTAAAAAGAATGAACTCAGAGTATTAATTAAAAAATATGTAGTTTAATAATATAGAATACACAATATAAATACTACGCTAGATCAATGCTCTCATGCACATTTCTCTTTACAACTCCATTGGCCATGAAACCAAGCATGAATATTGTTGTTCTTTTTCTTGACTTACTTGCCTTGGCAACCATCAACTTTTTCTTCTGCAACAACGGAAGCACTAACCTGAATTGCATCGAAAGTGAGAGACAAGCACTTTTAAGGTTCAAGCAGGACCTCAAAGATCAATTGAAGCGGCTCGCCTCTTGGAAAGGTGATGGAGAATGTTGCACGTGGGCTGATGTTGTCTGTGACAACTTCACAGGCTATGTTCTTGAGCTCCACCTCGAAAGAGATTTGACAGGATTCTTCGGAGGTAAGAAAAATCCCTCCTTGGTTGATTTAAAAGATTTGGTTCGCTTGGATTTAAGCAACAATTATTTTCAAGAAATTCAGAATCCTCCATTCCTCGATTCTACAAGAAAGTTAAGGTACCTTGATCTTTCTTCTACTGGATTTAGAGGAATGGTTCCTTATCAACTAGGAAATCTCTCTGATCTCTGATATCTTGACCTTAGCGACAACGTGATGGGTTGTATGTTGAGAATCTCTTTTGTTGCAGTGTTTTACCAATTGAGCTTTGTCAGCTATCTTCTCTGCAGATCTTCGACCTTGCTTATGATAAACTCTTTGCACCAATACCAAGATGTGTCAATAATTTCAGTGTCATGGTAACAATGGAGAATGCTATGGGCAAAGTTTTTGAATTTGGTAGTGGATCTATGGGTGAGTTTTTTGTTGAGGATGCAAGTCTTGTGATGAAAGGAGAAAGGGGTGAATATAGCGCTACTCATCATTTGTTAAGAAGTATAGATCTTTCCAAAAACAATTTCTTTAAAGAGATTCCATCGAAGTGACAAATCTTAGAACACTGCAATCATTGAATTTGTCATGCAATTCTCTTACTAGAAGAATTCCTAAAATCATTGGTGCTATGACATCTATAGAATCTATTGATTTATATGGAAATCAACTTTTTGGTGAAATCCCCTCCAGTTTTTCGAACAACCACCTCACCGAAAGGATTCCTTTGAGCACTCAACTACAATGTTTTGATGCATCTTGTTTTGCTGGCAATGAAACTATGTGGATCTCCACTTCCTAAGAACTGCATTACAACTGATTCAAAGACTAACCATGAAGAAGGAAGAGAAGATGGAAATGAACATGAAGTCAAATGGCTTTATGTAAGCATGCCAATTGAATTTGTGTTGGGCTTTTGGGGTGAATTGGTCCCTTACTTGTCAACAAAAGATGGAGGTTTAAGTATTGTAATTTCCTTGATCGTCTTGGGAACAACCTTTACTATTTTGTAAAAGAAATTTTGCTAGATCATTTATGTTTCCAGCTATGTTTGTGTGATTGAAGAGAGTAATAAATGTTGAAATAAGGATCTTGTTTTCATTCCTAAGTATTTGTTCCATATTAAATTGGATCTTTGTTATGGAAGAGGTTTATGTTCTTTGAGACTCATTTACAAAATTCAGTTGTAATTTTTTTACTAGATATGCAATACTTGCACATTTGATGAGGTATGAATACAGTTTGATTGATCTTATAAGTTAAATGAGGCTTGAAACTTATGCGAAAAAAAATGTTAATAATAACGTTAAATAACAACGCTTAAGAGAAAGAAAAAAAAAAAAAAAAAGGAGATAAAATTGTCGGGAAATATATATAATACAGAAGAGGATTTTATTTAAATCTTAGAAAGTACAAGTAATGGTGAACACATCTGTATAAACTTTCAGGAAAAGCACCATTATTAAGAATTCTGAGTTAGTACTATTTGTTCATTTCCAATACTTCAAGACATCAGAAGACTCAAAAAAGTTCCTCTAGGGGGGAAATATTTTGAGTCATGTGGCTAGCGATAATGCTTATGAAAAGAAAAATAAATGCAAAGATAACATTAAAGAAAAAGTATATCAAGAAGATTTGGGTTGAGTTTGTGGAGTGATGAAACCTGACCAACTTGTTAAGCCAACAATCCGGTGACTCAATCCATATATAGAACATAAAGCCCATTTCTGCTTTCCAAAAGTTCTGCTGCTTTTCTCGCTTGGAGGACTGATTTAACCCACTCTTCAAAAAGCACTGCAATTTCATCATTGGCCGCATTCATATATTTCAGGCATTGTTAAATCTTGAAAAGCTTTATATTAAGCTTGAGTGCGAGAAAATATTTGAAAACTTAATAAGCTTGAAAGGAATGAAGTAGCAGAACATACTTTTGTCAAAAATTCACTGTTTGACCAGGTTAATAAGTAATCTGATATTAGAAACTCAATAAGCTGGATCCTGCCACCAACGAAAACAAATTAGATAAATATATTCTGGAATACTAGATGATAGATAAATGGAAAGTTAAATGAAATTTTTGAATAGGAGTTGTTTCTACAAGGTTATTCAATTTGGATTAAGGAATTAATACAACACTTTGTGCAGAGGTTGCTATGAACTTGGCCATGATTAGTTGAGCTGCCCTATTGATTAAACCATACCCAAGACTTTCGCACTACTCTTGCAGGCATTACAATGAAAAATGACAATTCCAGTGTCACAAGTCTTCAATTACAAAAATGGGAGAACAAATGCTTGAAGAAAAGCTTTTTGGACTGCCTAGTTGTCTGCTAATTCAGTAAAAGATATGGAACTTGATTTAGATATGGAATCAAATCGAATGTGGATACAGAATCTCACTCAATGAAATAATTTGATTAGAAATCAGAGAGGTGATCGTAAATGCAAAAGTTACTGAAGTACTTACATTAGAAACATGCACTCGTGCATACTGGGGAAAGCAGCATCAAATGGATCTGAGAAAAGCAAGCTTTCTGCTACTACAGAAATTCTTTGGGATACTGAGAATACGACACACTGTTCAATATAGGCTTCACTTGCAAGCTTGCGGATCAGGCATTGAATGCAGAATTGAGAATTGTCATCAATAAAGGTAACATCGCTGGAAAAATGGAACGACTCTGAGTCAACAGCTTGAAAACAAAAACGGAGAAAATGGAAAAACTAAAAAGTACATAAAGGTAACATCGCCAGAAAAATGGAAATCGTTCAATGATTTGGTGCTCCTATTGATGAATATCACTATAGAGCAATAAGAAAAAGTGTTCTTCAACCATTAAACAACATATATCTATAAAAAAATGTTGTATTTCAAAGCACAGTCAAGTGTACCATCTTCGTTCAGGGAGGAACACGTTCTTTTAACCAAGTGCACAATTAAGCTGCTGATTATTCCTTCAATGACTTCTTGCTCTTTCCCTCTGTTAATAGATTCCTCAATGATGCTTCAGGGCAAAGACTTTAAATAGCATTTGGGTAGAGTTAACTAACAAGAAAATACATGTACTATAAATAGTCAGAAAAAATAAAGGAACACTTAATACCATGTACAATTGCGACCCTGTGAATGTGAATAGCAAGAAACTAGAGCACAGACTTAGCAAAATGCTATCAGTTGACAATAGAAGTTTAAACAGGGAAACCTTTAAGGTTTTAACACTCAACAAAACTGCATATCCTAACTACTCTGGGTCTAACAACCAACACCACAAGATATGTCATTTGAAAAGATGGTTTTTGTTCACTCATTAAAGAACAAAGCAAAACTAATGGCTTCATTAAAATCCCTTCTTTCTACTCTTTTCTAATAGCAAAAATGATCTATCCAAGCCAAGGGTGTCAAAACATATTTTTAAGATATTTAAAGTTGACTTCAATTTAACTACAATATACTGATACACGTTATTATACTAGTACAATTTCCAGGTATCTCAAGTGAGCACCTAACCTAAAATGAAGTCCACAGCTTGGTGAGACCAATTTGCAAAATTGCCCTCTTTTGCCTGCAAAAATTATAAGGCGCCCAACATATGTAAACACAATACAGCAGTGATGATGTAGAGCACACAGTAAAATGTTAGTTACTCTAGAATTTCATAATTTCCTCATTTTGACATTAAAATATAACAAATCAAAAAGTCAAAAAATGTCGTAAAATTGAATGTAGAACGATAATATTAAACTATCAAACTTGTAATATGTTATAAATTTACATTTTAGTTTATCGTTCTGAGGTAAATTAAAATTAGGAAAAAATTATCTCTATATCAAGTAAATGAACTTCAAAATAGAACTACATTTTTCGATAATATACCTGTAAAACGCCGTCGTTAAGGGGAATCTCCTGTTCTTCTACTCCTTTCCTTCAGTCTCACTGCAAAATTAACAAACATTTTAACAACAGTAGCAACGGTAGTTGATGATTATCAGTAAAGCAACAACAAGAGAATGAATAAAAATGAACTTATCTGAGAAATCTCCGACGAGGAACGTCGTTGAACCGACGATGAGAGGCATCTCCATCGATGTTAGGGCTTAATTTTCCCAAATTATCAAATAGCACACAAGAAGCCGATTGCGAAACAAATCGAATGCGAGATCTAGATCCAAAATCAAACAAAATAAAAAAAATAGAATTAATTAAAAACGAAAAAAAAAATTCAGAACCTACCTTCAGCTTCTTAGATCTCTCTCAGCCTGATGAGCCTGCTTCCGTCTCTTCGCCTGAAATTTGACAAAACTGGTATTTGGTTACGGAGAAAACTAATTCTAAGTTATGGAGATTATGAGACCTTCCGCTCCAGCGAAGTCATCGGATTCAAAAGAAGGTGAGTGCTTTGATTTTGATTAAGGCGAGCTTTGATCGGAAGAGAAATGGCGACGGCGAACTTAACGATCGTCGTTTGAAGTGAAGATTTGAATTTCTTCTTTGCATTTCATGGTGGTTATTTGTAAAGGCGCGAGATTATGGTTTCAAAGCTGTTTACAACTTATATAGGTGATTAATTTATTAAAAAAACGAAATTATTTTTAAATTTATTTTTCATTTTTTAAATATTTTTTCATATAAGCAAAAAAAGAGAGCTAGTTTTGATATCAAAACATGTCACAACATCTTTTTGATATATTTTACAATATCTTAAAAGAATAACGATGTCGTTTTGTTACTAAATTTTATAACTTTCAATTTCAAACAGGCGTAGTCTAAATTATCAACTATGAGGTGAATAAATATACAACATATAAAAGTTTTTTTTTAAAACTATTATCACTATACCCTATATCAGATTTAAAGGCTTATTTTTCTGTTATGATGACAATGTTACCACGTTCAAAGAATAATATATATTTTTTTAATTATTAGCTAATATGATACACAAAAACCTTAGTTTTCTTTAAATAAATTAATGTCATGAAAATTATATTATTACATATATCTGGGATGGGTTTATTTTAATTTTCTTCTATGTAAGATTGTTTAGTATTAAAGTCATCGGTTTTATTCAAAATATATTAAATACCCCTTGAAAAGGGGTTTTTGATTATTTTGTAAAGGGGTTTATAATATTTTTAAGGGGATTTTTTTTTTTTTTAAATAATGAAATGGATGTTTTTTATAAGGAAAATGAAATAAAACCCTGTTATAGATTAATTAGTCTAATGAAAAATTATATTATCATTAAAGTATGTTTCTAAATATACGAGCTACTAATAGTTGTCATTATTTTTTCTAACTACATTTAAGCATATGTTTCATGAGCATTTTTTTGTTATAAACAATTGAAAGCACTTTTTTTTTTTATTTTTTTAAAGTTGAAAGTATCTCTTAAACTTATTTAATTGAAAAAGGTTAAAGTCAATTTCATTTTACCTCAAAATAAAAATATTTGACGTACAATTTATGATGGTAAGTTGGTAACCAAATATTATGTGGTATACTTGTTATGCTAATTTCTTTTGGAAATAATTAATGATCTTCATTTAATTTCATATCTGCTCTCATGATTAAGTTATGTTAATGGTAAGTAAAGCAATATCTAAAGTTCTGTTAAATCAAATAAATATTGTTTATTTTAGTTTTATTACAATTTCCAATTAATATTAAAAACCCGCTTTCAAGGGTGAAAAAATGTGTTTTGTTATAGTATATAAATGTAACAATTCAGTAACATGAAACTTATAATTTCGTAATGTGAAACATGTAAACAAAAAACGTAAAGCTTATATATATATATAAACTTTTGCCTTGTGTTATAGACAGATTTCGATAAAATTAAATAATATTCTAAGAAAGTTGATTGTAATTACACTAAAAGATAATAAATTTGAATATACTCATTATTCAAGAATGAGTTTCTTTATTTCTTTTTCTTATTTTTTTTTTTTTTGTCTATTTAATATAATTGGTCCATGTGAAGAATATCTAACTAAATAGATAATATCCATAAATAAAAAGTCACAAGCTCTGTTGGCAAATTGAACCACCTTCATAATTATCATGGCCCCGACACACCCCACAGCTTTAAAATTTATTCACTTTCATATATATATATATATATATATATATATATACACACATATATAATTCAAATAAAAATAAAACAAAATAAAGGGGTTTTTCTCGACTTCTTGAGGATTAATTAAATAACAAATTTCGCCCTTAAATTTTAGATATAACAAAAATTCGTCTATTGTTAATAAATTGTTAATGTATCTTCAGAATTAATAATATGACGGTTGGTAAATATTTATCTAATTTTCTATTTACCGTTTATTTGAACATGAAAATTCATGATAGGGGAATTTTTGTTATTTCTATAACAATAGAGGAATTTTTGTTATTAACCACTATTTAATTTATCTTTAATATATAAAAGGAGATTTCAACCTCTTTCCTAATCACACAGAAGCTCTTATTTTTCATAAACAACCATGGCAAACTTTACCCTCAACTTCACCTTCTCCCTCATCTTCTTCCTCTTCTTCACTCTCTTTCTTCAGACCTCTGCAGCTCCTGAAGCAGAAGCTTCTTCTTCGAAACGTTTCAGAAGAGTTTTCAGTCTTCAGCAGCAGCTTGTTATGCAACAAGAGGGCCTGATAAGCCCCAGTTCGTTTGAGCCGCAGAAGCAGTTGAGAGTTCAGGTGATGAAAGGTGGAAAAGGCGGCGGTGGTCGTGGCTTTGCTGCCGGCGGCGTTGGAGTTCATGCTCGGCGGGGGAAAACTTCGGCAGCTGTTCCAAGTAGTCAGAGTTTTTATTATCTCCTTGTTGCTTGCTCTTTCTTATCTTTTGTTCCTTTGTTTTGTAGTTTTTGACTAATTAATTTTTATTTTATGGCTTAATCTAATGTTAATTATCTTGATTTAATTGCAATTGTCTATAAGGTAGCGGGCTTAATTTCTCAAAGAGACATGTAATATATGTATTTGCGTTAAACCTTTAAGGAATTAATTATGTTAGAATTGATGCTAATTACTAATTAATAATTCAGATTCTTTGTGTTGAAAATTAATTGATTCAACTCTAAACTTAGTCGGATGATTATCATCTATCCAAAAGACCTTCTTCACACGTTTGATACTATTTATGACTTATCATATTTTGCTGCATCAACCTTTTTGAGGCACTTGACGTGGAAATGTAGAGTCTATATTACGACTAATACTACTTGTCATGGATTAAATGTTTATCAAATATCAATAAAACTAATTTACTAGATTAATTAAATTAAAAATTATCTACCAAGATCACATGGTTTTTTAATTAATCTTTGACATACTTAAAACTAAAATCCCATCATGAACCATTATTGGATTAATAGACAAAGTATTGTAATAGGACCCTTGAACAGCTCATAAATTAGAGCCCCACACCTTTTACATCTTGACAATCATCATGTTTAATGCTCTTGTTCAATTTTTTTTTTTTCTTTTGCATAAATATCGATTTTTCTAAATGATTAATGCACGAATAATGTTATTTTTCGAAAACTTTTTTTTTTTTTTGATACATTAATTGAATTTAAAAGTTTACTCGTTACCATTGATGTTTCACCATCATCTTTCAATATTTCTTCAATCCCCTCAATTATATATATAAAGAAAATAACTTATATACTAATTAAATCATATATAATTAAGTTAAATTATGAACTAGATGGATATGTTAAATTGTATTAATTGAATTACTAATCGAGTTCTGTTGACTAAAACCTAACACAACCTGCTTATTGAACCTATTACTTACACCGATTAAACAAGTTTATGTTATAATCATGTCAACCCATTTATAGTCAATCTTAACACATTAATTTTATACGATGTTGTTGTTGCTTGACAAGTATATGTTAAAATTTACCATCCATTACTGGACAAGTATATGGCAGGGTGTTATTGTTGGAAGCTTAAGAGCATCTATGCTATATCTGGTGGATGTAACTGGGATAATGCCATCTGTATCACCACTGTCGTATGAAAGAACAAACAGTCATTAGAGAGCTACAATCAAAAGTGATTACCGGACAGACATGTAAACTGCAAAAGGAGAGGTGGAGTGCACCTGAACATCCATATATGAGGTCCATGATGTATAAGCTCATGATTCATGTCTAGCACTGACCTCGGAGCATTTGATTCCATGCAGTGAAGAGAATAACGGTTCAGATCAATTGTACTGACCAAGAAACCAACGCGACTCCAAAATAACCAGAGGGTGATATGGAAATCACGAATTTATATATATGATTGGCAACAAGAAAAAGTTAAATTGATTTTTAACTCAAAATTGATAATTTTACGTTGGAGAAGAAAGAAGATCCTTCATGCAGTAATGCAGGGGATAAATGAGAGAAGTGATTTGAACATCTGGGCATCACCTCACTTTTCTTTGCTCATGAACAGAGGTTCAATCCCAGACAAGGAGACCTTGCAGGATAAAATTATCACTCTCTTACCCATTTTCACACAAGTTTATACCGTTCCTTTTTAAATGGTTAATCACGTTAATTCAATCAAGATTGTAAAAATATGATGATCTATATATCAATAAATTTACTATTTTATCTTATTTTGCCCTTAGAGTGCGTTTGGTTTAGAGAAGATTGGATTACTGAAAAGTTAGATTACCTTAAAGATTACTGAGAATCTTTAGGAAAATATGTTTGGTTAGTTGGAATAGATTAGTGGGTATGTTTCATTAATATATTTGGTTGGGAGGAATAAATTGGTGGGTATGTTATTTAAATTACTGAATTGTCCTCTAATTAAATATCATTATTATATTATTTTTTAATGCTGATTATTATTTGGATTATTATAACCCCCCTGCATTTAAAAACTTAGCAAAAACAACCCCATAATAAAAGTTTAGAAAATCAACAAAGCATCCCCACCAACCCAGCCATTGCCGGGCCAGCAACCACCGTCGGCTGTCGGCAACCTAACCGCGCACGAAAGGTAGGAAATGGCCTCCGTGCACCGTATGGCCATTTTCGGCCAGAGATCGTGACAGATTTGGTCGTTAACGGCCATCGATCTGGTCGTTGATGGCCAGATCCGTCATTGATCTGGCCGTTGATGGTCAGATCCGTCGA